GGACTTCTTTTTTGAGGAATGATGAGTTGTCGTCCCTGCAAAGGAGTCATTGATGATGAATCAGTCTCCAAGTGGGAGATTATTAAATGGTGGAGCCTAATTCATTAAGGACTGATTAGAAATTTATGCTCTTGTAAAATTATATTGTGGACTTGGAGTCATAATATAATTATTGTTAAGTTGTATAATCTAGTTCTTGTAAAATCTTATTAAGAAGTCGGAATCCTTGTAAAATTTGGTTTTGCACAATTTTATCTTATAAATAGAGAGCTCTCCATAGATGTGTGTGTGTGTGTGTTTTTTTTTAATAAAAATCAATAGAGAGAGAAAGAGAGGTTAGATAAAATAGGTAGGCGACATTCTCTTATAAACTTTTCTTTTATTACAATGAATTATTGCATCAACGAAAGAGGGCGTAGTCTTATATTGAGACGAACTTCTACAAATCTTGCACGTTCTTAATTGTTTATTTATTTATTTATTATTGTAAGTTGATTGTTCTTGACAAAATAGAGTTAAGATTTTTAATTCTCAGTCGGTCATAACCAGGATACAAGAAATCTATCTTTCTGCTACAGCCTAATCATGACTCACAGGCCAGATCTTGACTATTGCATTAATTTTGATTTATCAAGCAAATACAAATTAGTCCATTGTCCAAAACTTCTTGGCCCCCACCTTCCAAAGTTCTAATGTCCCTCCACTCCTAAAAAAGACAGTATTAAGAATTTAACTCTCTTTATTTGCACGGCCAGTCTATTCTTTGTTGAGAATAATAGGATTAGACAGGACAATGACAAAATTAATTAATTAAAATTTTCTTTTTAAGGCCCGTTTGGTGATGATTTTGAAAATTGATTTTTTAACCGTTAGGAGAAAAGTGAGGGCACATGTGAGTGAAGAAATCAAAAATAACGGTTGAAATAGTGAATAACAGTTAAAAAATCAATTTTGTTGGATGAAAAATCACTACCAAACAGAGCCTTAATATTGTTTGAGATTGTATATTTCAAATGATCAAGGAGAACAATGCATGTTTATGGGAAGAGCAATGCTTCATGCAGAATGAATTTGAAAATATTTTTCATAATAGGTCACGTGACATGTTATCATTGGACAGTTTAAAAAACAACTCATCTTATCAATCAATACTTTTTTGTCACAGTCACCATTGTACAAATAGATTAATTGTAATGGGAATGAGTTGTCTCGGCGTTTCTTCTGGGGCAGGCTATTCTGGTGCATTTGAACCATCATGTTGGTAGGTTTCTCCCCCTTTCGTGAGATTTTTATTATTATTATTTTATTCTCCTTCCCTTGGGTGGGGTGGGAAGGAATAATTGGTAGCAATTGAATACTTAACATAATGAATATTATTGTTAAAGAATTCTTAATCATTGTAGATTCTGATCAACAAAATTAAGTATACTATTTATTACACTTATTTCTTATTAACAGTTCTGAACAGCATCTGTGGAGTTGGAATATTATTATTATTATTATTATTATTTATTTATTTTCAAAAAAGAATCTAAAGAATCATTAGCATTGCATGCCTGAAGTGGCATTTTGGAACAACCTTCCCCAAGGTCCTATTTTTATGTTTATTTTTAAATGAGTTTGGAGCTTTTAATCAAACATATGTACCGATCATGAACTTATAAGTTGGCTTCTCAATCGTTCGACTATCCTTCGCACAAACACGATTTTGGAAACTGAATTTTGTCCCATGCTTATTGATTTTGCAGATAGCTAGAATTGAAATAGATTTGAGAACCTCGTCTTGGATCAAGTAGTTAAAAAGAGTATCAAAATATGAAAATTAAATTTGATAAATTTAGCTCTCGTTTGGTAGTAATTTTTCAAAAAAAAAAATCAATTCTTTAATTGTTATTTCATTATTTCAATCGTCATTTTTGACTTCTTCACTTACAGATGAGACCCACTTTTTTCTATTATTACCGAATAGGCCCTTAACATTTCTTTTTGGGGACAAAGTTGCTATTTATAACTTTTTCTTGCTTTTGCTCCAACGGGTAAATTCTCTCTTTTTCTTTATAAAAGCTTCCCTAAACTCATTGAAAGAATTTAGGAATGCAACTCGAATATGCCACCTACGATTCTGTCTTTGCTATGAGATCTCCATTTTCAAATGAAATGCCCTGCCACGTGTCAGACCATTATTGCTCCAGTTAGTTAATTGCATATAAGCCACTTGTAATTCGGCTACATAGAAGCGAATGCACACAAAATTTTAACCAATGGCGCAAACCTACGGCTTCGATCCATTTTCCTTCTATGAATAGTTCATTTGCGCCAACTGTATAATCTGTCGTACGAAAAATACACTTCTCTTCTCTTCGAGGCTTCGGATTTCCGAAGTTCCTCTCTTCATCAAAGGTACATTTTCCCCCCAGTTTTTTGAGGTTTTATTCTAATTCTTGTAAATTATTGCTTGTATAGAATGAATTCTTGTTCTGGTATATAATGTTTTACATTAAATATATGTTAATCGATGTGTTTTGAAGGTCATAACTTTAGGTATGTAGATGCTATCTGTATACATGAAATGAGAATTAGAAGGTTGTTTGTGAATTTCTCATTTGAAAATTTGAAGGATGGATTCTTGATTCTACATTTATTATATTGTCTTTTTTTATAGGAATGGGAAAAAGTTCGTTTTCTAATTCTTTCTTCTCATGCTTTTTGATGGACCTTCAAAATTGAAATTCTATGTGAGCCTGCCAGAACTCTTTATTTTCGATTATGTCTCTTCTGAATTATGATACGTAATTTTGATTTTGAAAATCTTGTTGATCTTTTAAGTTTAAGCATATTTTTAAATCTCTGTTTGGTTTAAAGAAATATCTCCGTAATCTATTAACTGTTGTCCCATGAGATGAAATGAGCGAGTCTGATCGATATAGAAATTTTAATGTGTAAACCGAACGAAAATGGTTTTGCATCTCTGGGTAAAGATCCAAGTATATCCTTAGATGAATATGCCCATCAGTGTTCAGTTTTAAGAAAAATGTGGACTTGTGTTCCCTTTTATAAAAAATAAATCTAAGTTTTTGTCGAATTCGAAACAATTAAGCTTTTAGATGGAGTGGTCTACGAAACAAGATTGAGAAAAGCCGGTGGTTGAATTGTTGCAGGATTTATTATCGTTCTATACATGTTTGAAAAGTGTCACTTAACGATCAATAATTTGAATTATTAAGGTCAGACTAATTATTCTATTGTTTTTCCCTCCAGACTCTCATAACATATTGTCGGTTCAGATGCTGTCAGGAATGCGGAAAGATGTGGCTGAATACTAAGACCTTCATCTCTAAGGTCTGTGAATCTGAGCCTCCATTGAGGCCAGTCTTGATCGTAAGCGATAATGTTCAGTATGCTACGATCAAGTTTTGCAGCCAGATGCATAATGAAGCCAGGATTCGTCAACTTCCCTTTGTAATAAGCATGACCGCAAGATTTGAGTTCTTTCTAGGACTCTTGCCTTGTAATTAATTAAAACAGATTCTTCGACCAGGAGAATTTGTATTAGTTTAGTAGGTTTGTGTTTTTTGAAATGGAGAAGAAGGGAAGCATATTGATGGGAAAATACGATCTCGGGAGGTTGTTAGGTCAAGGAACTTTCGCCAAAGTTTACTATGGGAGACTTCTTAAAACAGGACAAAGTGTGGCCATTAAGGTTATTGACAAAGAAAAAGTATTGAAGGCTGGCTTGATCGATCAGACAAAACGAGAGATATCTGTTATGGGATTGGTCAAACACAAAAACATTATGCAGCTTTACGAAGTTATGGCTACCAAAACAAAAATTTACTTCGTAATGGAATATGCGAAAGGTGGAGAGCTTTTTCACAAGGTTGCAAAGGGAAGGCTCAATGAAGATAGTGCTCGGAAATATTTTCAACAACTGATCATTGCTGTTGGTTTTTGCCATAGCAGGGGTGTTTATCACCGTGATTTGAAACCCGAAAATCTTCTACTGGACGAGAATGGAGATCTTAAGGTATCTGATTTTGGATTGAGTGCGCTCACTGAGTCCAAGCGCCAGGATGGATTGCTCCACACGGCATGTGGTACCCCAGCATATATCGCTCCCGAGGTGATTAGCCGAAAAGGCTACGATGGATCAAAATCCGATATCTGGTCTTGTGGGGTGATCTTATTTGTTCTACTTGCTGGTCATCTTCCGTTCTACGACTCGAATCTCATGGAGATGTATAAGAAGATAAGCAAGGCCGATTATAAATTCCCTAATTGGTTTCCACCAGACGTGCGAAGATTGCTATCACGGATCCTTGATCCTAACCCCTATACTAGGATTTCCATAGCCAAGATTATGCAAAACTCCTGGTTCAGAAAAGGTCTCAAAACCAGACAATCAAGGACAAAAGCAGAAGATGCGGAAAAGATCTCGCTCGACTTTGGTTCCAATTCTGGTTCTTCTGGGAACGATATTCCTACAGATACGAAGCTGGAGGTGGCTAAACCTACAAACCTGAATGCATTTGACATTATATCTCTCTCGACTGGATTTGACTTGTCTGGTTTGTTCGTGGACAATGACCAAAAAGATGAGGTGCAATTTACATCTACAAAGCCGGCTGCTGCTATCATATCAAAACTTGAGGATATTGCAGGGAACCTAAAGTTGAAGGTGAAGAAAAAGGAACAAGGGTTCATGAGACTGGAGGGCTCGAGCGAGGGTACAAATGGGACTTTGTTCATTGACGTGGAAATATATGAAATCACTTCGTCATTTCATTTGGTAGAGGTGAAGAAGTCAAGTGGCGACTCCATAGATTATCAGAAGATGTTGAGACAGGATATAAGGCCAGCTCTTAGGGAAATTGTCTGGGCTTGGCAAGGTGAGCAACAGCAGGATCATTAATAACATCATTCAGAAGGAAAGCTACTGACTAAATTCCTAGTTGTTTCTAAGGCTGTTGTACTCTTGTATTGGTACTTGTAGGTTTCTGTTCTTTTGATTTTCCATTCTATGTGACAGTCCTTTTTATCAGTTTGTGAAACAGTTCTATTGGTGTTTGAGATGTGCCCACTGGACATGGACTGTATTGAATTATGCAGTAAACCAGTCTGTCTAGCCGACCCAAGCTGTCGCGACCCTTGTGGGCCATGCTCCTTCCTCGTCGGGTCTTGTCCCAAGCCACTTTTTGCCTCCATCGCCTCATTCTTTAATTTTGCTTTAGAATTTGCTAAAGTGCATGTTTCATACATACTAAACCTAAACTATACCCAGTTTGACTATTATAATGATGATTCTTTTATGTTTACTGTAATTCTAGTAAATTATACTTTTATATACAGATGCTTTGGAACTGGAAAATTGGATCTGAGCCTAATTCTTTTTACCGTTGGAGTGAATTTAAGAATATAGTGCATTCATCTTGATTGATCTATGCATGGCATGTAAATCAAGCCATCTTGAGCCAAGTTTTAGGATGCATAACTTAGGTAGGTGTCGTAAATGGATTGAGTCAACTTGAATAAGACACAGAAATTTTGTTTTACAAGTAGCTTATATGTCGAGCTTGAAAGTTTTATGACTAATGAGTACAAGAATTTGTTCGTGTTTTACTCCAAAGCCAAGCATTTACGAGTTTTAGACAAACCAAAGCAAATCCCATCTGTTTGATCCTAAGCTCGAAAACGAAAAAGGAAACACGAAAGATATTAAACTATGTCTAGTAATATGTCTTTTTTTTTTTTTTTTTTTTTTTTTTTTTTACAGAGGTCTTACCAACTCACATGGGGTCGGTCCCACGTGGGCCCCAATGTGATAAAAAAATGAAGAAAAAATTCCGACCCCACGCTATATCCTTTATTGACTTAAACAATGAAATTCCAGAAAATGACAACTCATTCAACATTTTTGAGATTTTTGTGGTTATCTAAGATGATTTTTTGGCAAGATTGGAACTCTTCAACATTTTGAGAGCATACAACAATTTAGTACTATATAATGTTCAGGTTGTGATAAGAATATTTCTGCTTCAGGAATGAACTATACAGTGATATCTGAAAATCTGATTGTTTGCTTCCAACCTTAGAAAGTTGAAGACATAGATCATCTGAAAGAGGACCAGAATGTTGGTTATATTCTCAACTTGCAACAGGACAGAGAAGTGGGGAATCGACCTACCATCTTGATAAGTGTGTTTTTGCACACTTATTTAGGTCACAAATATGACTTAATTACGAGCAAAATGATTAAATTGTGATTTAATTTCGTTACATTTGTGAATTGTAGGGAGCACCGATGAATATGGTGAAATTCATGAGAAAAGACGCGAAAAAGGACTAAAATGACACAAAGTCAAAGTTCAAGGACCAAGGTGCAATTATTCAAAAGTTGACCCGATGAACAAATCAAGGAATTGATTAAACCAAATGTCAATTGATGATGTCTTGGGATGATGGAATGGAAAGAGTGAAGAAAAGAGGCCTAGAAGTGAAAGATTCAAGTAAATGGACTAAATTGAAGAGAATAGAAGTTGGAGTCTATCATGTGGCCGCATGGTAGAACTCCCATGCGGCCGTACAAATGAATGCAGGGAATTTTTATCAAAACATGGAATAGCCATGCGGCCGCACGGATTTAAACCATGTGGTCGCATGGTAGTATTTCCGATGCGAAATTTTCTTTTCTTATACGATTAAAATTCCTTTGGTAACCTAATATTGAGGGGATATAAATATCAAAAAAGGTCCAGAAACGACGAGAACGCATTGAAAAGCAGAAAAACACTTCTTGAAGAGGATTTGGAGCACAAGAACGAAGATTGGCTATTAGAATTTCAAGATTTCTTCAAGCTTTTATAATCCGGTGATTCTTATTACTCAAAACCTGATGTATTTTGTTATTTTAACCATGCTAGGCTAGATTTTCATGTGTTAGGAGATCGATGAACCATGTAATTTGAATTTTAATATCCTAGTTTTGCAATTTGATATTAAGACACATTTTTATTGTTTTGAATGATTTATATGCAATTAATGTTTCCGCAATTAAGGGCTCGTAATTGTGTGAATTTGGGTGATTTATTCTTGCATTCGAGAGAATTGGAATAGATTTAACATAATATAAATCATCGTAGAGTCCGATAGGAGAAAGAAATATACTTCTATGCCCTACGTGAATCTTTAGGTGTTCATAAAATCGCATGCATTTTTACATATGCTCTTGTCATAGAAATATGGGTTGGTGGTATGTAGAAATATGTTTGATACATCTCGAGAGAGAGTATTGGATAGATTTAGGAACATTGATTCGTCACAATTGAAGTGTGTTGTCATATTGTGAAACTAGGGTTTAAAGTGATAATTGCATAGAAAATCGTGATCCTAGTGTGTTTAATTTTTATTGATTATAACAACGTGCGTTCTCAACATTTAGTTTTATTCTAGAGTGTTAAATTATTGTTTTGAGTCTTAATTTCAATTCACTCATTAAATTTGCGTAACTAGGATTTCTTTTTGAAATTAGGGTTTTACTTAGGTTCACATCCGCTTTGGCAATCCAGTTTTGGTTAAGGTTACGTTAGATAAAATTTGAATTAATCAATCTCTGTGGGACGATATTCGGATTCATTGAATCCACTTTATTAGTTGTTAACGAACCGTACACTTGCGGTAGTTTAAAATCGAAAGAAAATAATTTCATGAACAAGTTTTTGGCGCCGTTGCTGAGGATTGAGTTTAGTCTGATTTTATTTCTCAATGCACTAATTCGAACTTCAAATTTTGTTTTGCCAGTATAGTTTTGTTTTTATTTTTACTTTAGGTTATTACACTTCATTTGTGTTTTAGTCATTTAAATTGTTTGAATCTCAGTGCTCGTACTGGTTTTAATTCTCAGATTTGCATGTCACGATTGCCTGGAGGAGAATTGATTCCAGCTGATCCTGAAATCGAGTGCACCTTTCATCGACGACAAAGAGATCACCGCGAAGCACAAGTACAAACGGCCAACGAATTAAACAATCCTATTGTTCAAGCTAACGAAGGAGAGACAATGGACGAAGGAAATGAAATTCTGGGAGATTTCTTGACTCCTCAAGTTATTCAAAGCCAATCCAGCATTGTGTATCCACCGTTTGGGCAGCCCAATTTTCAATTGAAGACCAATGTGATACAGCTATTTCAAAATGGACACCAATTTTATGGCAAAGCCGAGGGGAATCCACACACACACATATCTCGATTTTTGGACATGTGTCAACATTTCAGATACCAAGGGATTTCGGATGACGCTATTAGGTTAAGGCTTTTTCCACATACGTTATGAGACAGAGCACTCGAATTGTTGGATTCATTCCCGGTTGTAAGTATCACTAAATGGAACGAGCTGGCACACAAATTCTGCACAAAGTTTTTCTCCCCAGCCAAGATAGCGAAGCTGAGACATGACATATCAGTATTTAATCAAGGAGAAACCGAATCATTTGACGAAGCTTGGAATAGATTCAAAAACATGCTCCGGAAGTGCCCTCAGCATGGGTTTGATAAAAAGACCCAAATCCGATGCTTCTACACAGGATTACTTCCATACCACAAGAGCATGGTGGATTCAGCATCAGATGGCTCAATATCCACATGAACAATTGATGGGGCATTGGAATTATTTGAGAGAATGGCTACCACATCAGTCATGTGGTCTTCTGAGAGGGCGATTCCAAGGAAAACTCCAGGTGTCTACGAGGTGGACGCTTATTCAACAATATCTGCAAAAATCAACTCTCTATATCATAAGGTGGAAAGCATATCACAAGCAGCACAAGCTAAGAAGAGCAACTGTGAGGAATGTGGAGCCGAACATAAAACATCAGAATGCCCAATACTCATGCAAGGAATTGAGCAAGCAGACTATGCACAGTGGGGACAACGCCAACACAATCAATATGGAGAGACTTTCAATCTCAGTTGGAAGAAGCATCCCAACTTCTCTTGGAGCAACCAAAATCAGAATAAGCCACAGGGGTAATTTCAACAACAAGAGAAGAGGCCTCAATTGGAGGATGTGATAGGAAAATTCATGGAGAAAGTCGAAACTACACTTCAAAATCAAAATGCAGCCATAAAAAATTTGGAAACTCAGATGGGGTAGCTAGCCATCGCATTAAATGGCAAAACGCCAGGTAACTTGCCAAGTAATACAGAAATCAATCCCAAAGAGCAAGCTAAAGCTATTACAACTCGAAGTGGAGTGCAATTACCGGAAATCCATGTCAAGAGACCAGGTGTGACTGTAGAGACATCCTCCTCTGCTGAAAATGAGACTACTGTGAAGGAATCAACTCCAAATGAAAATTTAGAAAAATCACAGGATAAGGCCAAGGTCATAGTCAACCCATACGAGCCTCCAACTCCCTTTCCACAGCGCTTGAAGAAGCAAAAAGTGGAGCAACAATATAAAAAATTCCTAGAAGTTTTCAAAAAGCTCCATATCAACATCCCACTAGCCAATGCACTGTTTCAGATGCCTAGCTACGCGAAATTTCTCAAGGATATTATATCAAATAAACGCAAGCTGGAGAACCATAAGACAGTTATGCTTACGGAGGAATGTAGCGCCAGAATCCAGAATAAGCTCCCACAAAAACTGAAAGATCCAGGGAGTTTTACTGTTCCTTGCACAATCAGTGAAGTATATTTTGATAAAGCATTATGTGACCTCGGTGCAAGTATTAATTTAATGCCTCTGTCTGTTTTTAGGAAACTCGGCTTGGGAGAAGCTAAAGCAACCACTGTGACACTTCACCTAGCAGACAGATCACTGACACACCCCAGAGGGATAATCGAAGACGTGCTTATCAAGGTCGAAAAGTTCATATTCCCAGCAGATTTTCTTATTTTGGACATGGACGAAGACAAGAATGTCCCATTGATACTTGACAGACCATTCCTGGCCACAGGAAGAGCGTTAATTGACGTTCAAACGGGACAGTTGATTTTAAAATTGGGAGAGGAGCAGATATCATTTAATGTATTCAAGGCCATGAAACTGCCAGCAGAATTAGACAGCTGTT